ATGTGCAAATCTCCGAAACCACTTTTTCGTAAACAGTGCCTTTAAAGGGATTGATCAACGCCGAAAAACTTTATCCTTTATCATTTAGGTGGGTGGACGAGTGGAACACTGTTTACGAGTAATGCATTATGCATCGCCACTAAGATATTTTCGACGAGTAAAGCTGTAATAACCTTGAACAACTACAGTAAACCTTTTACCTGATCATATTTGCTGCATATGTAGACCACTGAAGTTGATTCAAGGGTTTGTGCTCTATTGACAGTGCGTCCAGGTACCATTTCAGCACCTCTTTCTGTAGGTCCTGAAACTTCACACTGAAAAGAAGGAACAAGAAANACAGTAAACCTTTTACCTGATCATATTTGCTGCATATGTAGACCACTGAAGTTGATTCAAGGGTTTGTGCTCTATTGACAGTGCGTCCAGGTACCATTTCAGCACCTCTTTCTGTAGGTCCTGAAACTTCACACTGAAAAGAAGGAACAAGAAAACGACAAAGTTTAAATGTAGTGAACTCACGGCATTCCTCAGAACGAAGTTGAGCATATGAAATACAAGTATAGGTGAATAATGAGGCGAAATTGGGCCCGAGCTAATAATGCACCTTCAAGTGATTACGGTTATCGTCACGGATAGCGATTGAAACGACAACAATAGCACAATGGAAGCTTACTTGAACTTTTCCCACTGATTGCAATCCAAAGCAGCGCATGCCAAATGATGGTGAACTTCTGATCGAAATATCATTTGTTTCATTTCTTCGACAGAGATCTCAGACACTGTTCGAGATGGATCCGTCACGCACCCGAGAAGGATATCTAAAACTCTTTCAATAAAAAACGAAAGGCTGTCTTGTTCATGGCCCAATATTTACAAAACATTGTAAAACGAAATATTCTGTCAAATTTCTCAAGCCTTGGAAGAGACGTTGAAAAAGTGGCCCAAAATCGAAGATCAAATGCTATTAGGTTGTCGGAAAAGTATTTGCGCCTTTTGCAATTTTTTTTGAATTTATTTTTTTCCTTCACAATAACTAACAATTAACAAATATATGCACTGTCATTATCGACAAGGTATTGCCATTCATCAGGCAACTTGTGGTTCCTGCTTGCGTAGAATTCCTGAGGTTTCGAGGAGGAAAACTTCGTCAATGTACGTCTCGAGTTGATTCACATAATCAACCTTCTTATTTTTCGGATGGT